CACTTCTCACCCATAGGGTGATGTCGTCTGCACGTATAGTATGATTCAGTCCTTCGATTGCTTGGAGTTTGATTGGCAGTCCAATTAGAGCCAGATTGAATAACATAGGTGATAATAGCAAGCCTTGCGGCGTACCTGCACTGCCCATCTCTATTTCCTCTGAAACTAGGTCCCCTATCATGATCTTTGCCTTCCTTCCCATCAGGAATTTACGCACGTAATTGTACATCCGTTGTCCCAGATCTAGATCGTTTACCCTTTTTAGCACCATTGCATGGGTTACATTATCAAAGGTCTTCTTGAGGTCTAACCCTAGAATGGCCTTTGTCGCTGTTCTCGGATTATCTATAATCTGATGTTTTAACTGTAGCATTGCGTCTTGCATTGAGAGGTTCCTCCTGAACCTTATCATTGTGGGTGGAAGCGCATCCCGGTCCTCGAGATAGATAGTTATTCTCTCCAGAATCACGTGCTCCATGAGTTTCCCCGCGCAAGATGTGAGAGATATGGGTCTCAAGTCCGCAATCTGCACTCGCTTGCCTGGCTTGGGTATTAACACGATTTTTGCTGTCTTCCATTGTTGCGGAATTTGTCCTGTCTTCTATGATTTGGTAATGAATTCAGTTAACTTAGTTATGGACTCGTCATCCAAATGGCGTAGCATTTTGTTAGTTATGCCATCTGGTCCAGGTGCTGATCTAGTATTGAGTTTTTGCAAGACGGCCCTCACTTCTGCCTCCCCGGTCTCGTCTAAATCATCATTTGCCAGCCCTGTGTAATCAGGGTGTGTAACGGGAAGCGCTTTAGAGATGTATGTTTTCTTGATTTCATTCAGGAAATCCTGCTTTGTACCTTGATATCTTTGTATTAACCGATTAATATTGTGCCTTTCTGCCAACTTGTTTCCGTCCGGGTTTAACAAATGTCTAAGGATGGTTCACGTTTTCGTCATTCCTATCGGGTTGTCCATGTCATTGCACTTTTCCTCCCACTGTTGTCTGCACAGCTGCTGGGCGTATTGCTCTATATCCCTGTTCAATTTAGCTATCTTTCTACGAAGTTTCCGGCTGTGCCTTTGGTTTTTCCACCTCCGTTGTAAACCTTCCTTAGATTCACACATGTGGAGAAGCTTATTGTCTACATACTTTAGCTGCGCCTCCGGTGGCACCGTTTGCGTAGAGGCCTCCACGTCTCGTTTTAACTTGTCGGTCCATTCCTCAATACTCTGTATCATTTCGTTGGGCTCCTCTATGATGTTCCGGAACTTGTCCCAATCGACAAGTTTAAGTTGTCTGCCTTTTACCTTCCGCGGCCTTGCCCTCACCGTTATTTCAAGTATAATATGATCGCTTCGCAAGTCATGTTCCGTATTGGTCCATTGCGTGTCCAGTATATTTTTGGTGAACGTCAAATCTGGCGTGGTATCCACGCAAACGCTAGTACCTGTTCTTGTAGGAATGGTTGGATCGGTCACGAGCGTCAGGCCCTCCTCCTGTGCGTCCAACCACAAGTTCCTGCCTTTCTGGGTTTCGATCCTGTATGCCCATGCACTGTGTGGGGCGTTGAAATCTCCTCCAATCACTAGCGCCCGGTTGCCCGTTATAGCGAGGGTTTTTCGAAACAGCGTGCGGAATTTGTGCTTTATGCATTTAGGACTGCTGTAAATATTCAATACAAAAAGACTGTCCTCTGTTTTTCGCGTGGGTATGAGTTCGAGGAGAATGTGATTTTTTGCCTTGATTTCCGTGTCATGTTGCACCACCGCGTGATTTCGCTTAACCAACGTTGCTAATACCTTTGTCTCCCCATCAGCACTGCCGAATGACTTTTATCCCGACAGTTTGACCAGCCCGTGAGTTTCTTGCACCATTATAACATCCGGGGTGCTAGTGTCTTTAAGATGTTTTTGCAAAATGTATCGTTTTCGATTATATCCTCGACGATTCCATTGCCAAATCGTGTAGCTATTTTGTCTGTCCATGGCGGCGTTACAGGCTCTCTAATCCCTCGGTGGGCACCGAGGTCCTAGCGTACGGTTTAAAGGACGTCTTCACCGGGCCCCCACCACTTGACTGCGATCCCCATATTGCTAGCTTGGCGTCAAAATCAGCCACCTCTTGCTGCACTTTCTGCAATATCGTCTTGCCTAGCTCCTCGATTTCGGCCTCTATGTTTGCCTCAAATTAACTTCTTGTTGTTCGAGCTTAGTTTGCAATTTTCTTTCAAGTTTGTTCCATTTTGGCTTCCATGGTGTTTGCGAATTCCTCCCGTCTTTCTTGTGGCGTCGCCACTGCTTTTGGTTTCTTTCATACGCTTTTAATCGGAGCGTTCTCTGGTTTACGTTTAACAGGGGTGAGGGCTGCGACCTCTTCCTTCATTGCTGCGCCTTTTTCCTTCATTATATTTTGTGAGGTTAACTCAATGCGTGTAACCCCTCCGTTTTTCAGAAAATAATTTTGTTCCCTGAGTTTTCTAATCTCATTCATAAATGCAACATTGTTCTGTCTGATTTGCGCCAATTCATTCTCTAGCGCCTTAATCCTACATTGAAAAGCAGTCTCTGCCTCCGCGCGCGCCCCACAAGCTACATCAGCCCAGCTCACCTGGAAGGGTCCCGCGGTGCCACGGACGCCGCTCGGTCCTTTTGAGCTTCGAGATCCTCCTCCCTCCTTTGATCATGGAGACCCGGTATTGGCGGTCTTGGGTCTAGAACTCGATCTGGACCTCGATCTGGATCTCGACATGTGGTGGTAGTAAACGTAGAGCGGTTTTTGTTTTGTGCTTGAAGCTTGGTGAAGGCTTCTGGTCCGGATGCGTCCCGTGTCCGATGTTCCGATCGTTGACCTGAGTCGCCCCATCTTTGCCTGTGAAGTGCTTTCGCTTCCGTCTCGCAGTAAAGTGCTTCTTTTTCCTCCCGTCGGGCTCGTTTCCAGCGGCGTCCTTACACCAGGTACGGTATCTTAAATCTGGCCTTGCAATGGCGATCTGCCGTCGGGTGGTCTTTGCCACACAGCTGGCACTACACTTGGCACTCGTGCTTCTGCGGTGGGTTCTCAGTGCCACACCCTCTGCATATTCTGCCTATTCGGGCTCGGGCAGACGTCAGCTCTGTGACCAAGGCATCCACACTGGTAGCACACGTTTACTTTCTCGCAGTATAGTGAGCACTTGACCAGTGCTCTTTCGTAGCTCACATAACTTGGAACGCGATGCCCATCGAAGAGGACGATGACGTTCGTGGTGTTTCCCAACCTCTTGGCCATGAGGACAGTCGGATTTCTCGGGGTTACCAGCATTTCCACGATCTCTCTTGGAGACACGTCCTGCGTTACTCCTCGGATCACCCCTTCAGATGTATCTTCCGGAGCTGACTCGTACGCATTGGCTTCGAATTCCTCGTCCCTAATTTTCAGTTGAGCGATGGTTCTGTATTTTTCGACGTGCTCCTCTGATGGTGTGCTGACCACTAGAATGTTCTGTTTATAGTTGGCACATACCGTGTCTTCTTCAGATTCATTCCTGGGTATTTTAGCGGCGTTGGCGACGCAGCATTCTAGACGATTGATCCCGTAGTCAGTGACCTTGAAGCGGTCATGTGGGCGCACAATTATCTTGTAATCTTCCTTCGGCAGACGGGGCATCCTACTCGCAGCCACAATTTGTCTTGCTCTCTGTCCCTTCCTACACCTATAACTGACTGCGTTCTCGCTTGAGAAGTGCGTTTCTTGGTGCTTGGCTTCATGCGTTGTGGTTTCTTTGTTGGCTCGTCCTCTTCTGTTCACAAGGCGCCAACCTGCTTCGTTCTCATACTCTTGTTGCGTGATATCTTCGCCATCCAGGCTCATCGTAGCCATCCTATGGCATTAACCCGATAAGACGCCGCCTTGAAGGGGCTCAAGACGCAGGCGTCTGTGAGCCAGGCCAAGCGCATTATCAACTACATACGAGGTGTAAAAGAATGGATTTTAATTACGTGCAATTAAATCGCATCGCTTCTCGGCCTTTTGGCTAAGATCAAAGGTCGAGGTAGCTGTTCTCTACGAGTCACTCTGCGAGACCTGGGGTCACCTCACTCTGACGTCGGCCCCCGGCTCTCTGAAGACCGAAGAAGGAAGACGCCACGTGGCAGCGCTGCTCCGCTCTGTGCGCGCGCGCCTGCCGCTCCTGGGTTCCCGGCTCCCGCCTGGTGCCCCCTGATACCTTCAGCCGCTAGGACCCGGACAACACCTGCCGCCCCGGAGTCCCCCTGCCGTGTTCCTGGCGCCTACCTGTACTGAGCGGTCCTCGCCTCAGCTGAACCGCACGGTCTACTAGAGTGCAGCCTATCTGCACGTTACCAGTTTCTACAAGTCACGCCCTTCTGGGACCAGCGTCCTACAGAATGGCGACCTCAACGGAGATCCCAGCCCGGGCGAACTGTTTCTTGTTCACCGCGCCGGAAGGCGATGTAAGCATAGATGATTTGATCGATGCCATTTAGTTGACTGCCGGTGTCGACAGTGTTTATGGGCTGCAGCATATGGGCGGTGCCAAGTTTCTTGTATGCACCCGAAACGCCAGCCAGGCGACGAGGTTAATGGTTGTGGAGGGTTTCCGCGTGAATGACCAGCACGTGCCGATTCAGGCCGTCAGGCCTACCGGTCGAGTTCGTAAATGTTTACGGGTACCCTGCGTACCTGTCCGACGAGACGCTTGGCAACGCCCTTGCGCAGTACGGTAAAATTAAGGGTATTTCTTTTGCCCCTGTAACCACGCGTTTTAATAAACTTAGCGGCGTTAGAGTCGTGAAAATAGAATGAGCTGACCGGTGCCCAACTTCGCTACCATCGCGGGCCACCGTGTGATGTTCGAGTACCCCGGATGCCCCATGTGTGCGCGCGCTGCTGGCGAGGTCGGGCACATGGCGACCGCGTGCACAGCAGGGTTTTGCAAGCGTTGTGGCGTCTTCGGCCACGACACAGAGGGCTGCGCAGTCGAGTGCATGCGTTGCGGGGCCCGTCATGGAACGCGCGAGTGTTTCCGCAGGCGTTCTTACGCGGCCGCTGCCCGCGGTTCATCAGCGCTGCCTGTCACCACCACCACGCCTAGCCAGTCATCCGGCGCCCCCTCACCGAGGTTGGGCGAGACCTCCACGCGTCTTCAGGTCTTCACGCCTAAGATCGCGCCCCGCACGACCGCAGGGGGACCCCTCTCTTTGCGTCGCGACGGGGATTCAGACCCGCGCTCAGGCAGCAACGCGGCGTCTTTATGTGTCAACGAGGAAGAGACGCACGGAGCAGTCTGTCTCCGTTGCTTCGGCGTCGGCGTCTTCTGGCACAGAAACAAGCGATATCGAGACGGGCCCCTTGACGCGATCATCGCCCCTTACGTCACCCGCAAGCCCATCAGGTGCCGATGAGTGCCCACGTCCGGCAACCTCAGGAGACGAGTCTCCTGCGCCTCCTGAGCATGAGGAGACAAGTCACCCCGTCTCCAGTGCGCCTGCCAACGTGCCGGCCCCTGTCACGGCGCAGGATCTGGGAGGGCCCCCGCAAGCCCCTGCCCGGGATGACAAGCCCATCGTGAGCCACGGGTACTACGCCGTGTCTGAAGACCACGACCGTGCTTCGTCAGACCCTTCCCCTGAGCGTGTTGTACCCCACAAGGGCCGGCGACTGGAACCGTCCGCGATCCACCCGGCGTCTGGCCACGAGCGGAGATCTCGCTTGCGCTCGCGTCATCGCCGCGGAGACGGGGCTGGTCGCAATTCGGGCGCGCGGGCCTCAAGTCACGACGCGGGCCGCGAGCCGAGGTGTCGCTCGCGTCGTCGTCAGGGAGACGAGCCGCCGTGCGACTCCCGTGAGGGTTCCCCCGCCCGCGAGGCGAGGCAGGAGCGAACGGGGCTCGAAGTCAACAGCAGCGACAGCGACGCCCCGCCGAGGGCGAAGACCCCGAGGTTGGGTAGGAAAGCGGTGACCAAGGGGGACACACCCGCGGATGACAGTGAAAGAATCGAGTAGGCCGTTGGCGTCATGGCGCCGTGCTGTACCGGGCAGGGGATGATTTGCTGGGGCACCTCGGACGCGTCCGAGTGCGCTTCGTCGATGGGCTTTGGATGCGCCTATACGCCTGGAATGCCCGGACACTCATCACGTCCTCAGCCGGGCGTGGTTTTTCACAGAATCCTTCTCCCTCCACTGACTGCTCCTTGCTTAGGTCCTCACAGAATCCTTCTGGCTCCCCTTTGTGTTTTGGGGAGACACAGCTCCCACTGCTCCCGTCTCCTCTGTTCCTGTGTAGTTTGTCAAAGAATCCTTCTCCCTTCATGGACTGCTCCTGGAGTATGTCCTCACAGAATCCCTCAGGCTCCCTTTAGTCTGTTTTCTGCTGAGATGCAGCTGTGTCGTCTGCTCTGGGCGTCGGCTGTCACAAGCTCGTGTCTCTGGGCTATTGGGCCCTGTTTCCATCACGCCATGGTCCATTTCCTCTCTCCCAGCGAAAACATTATAAGGTTATGCCTCATCGAAAAATCGCGTCTTGTAATGTCAGGGCTCCCGGGACAGAGCAAAACAGGAAAGTGTCCTGGAGTTTGCTCAATCTCTGGGGATCGATGTGCTGTTCCTTCAGGAGATGAACTTTCGGTCGCCGCTAGACGTCGCCAACTTTAAAAAAACCTTCGAGGTCGACGCCTTCTTCTCCCTGACGAACGCGAGGGCCTGTGGGGTCGGGCCATCTTCATTACGGGCCGCTTCCGGCAGAAAGCTTTTTGCATCTTCTGCGCAAATGGCCGAGTGCTCATGTTGAATATGTTCATTAATGGGAAACGGTGCCGCTTCGTTATTGTTTACGCCCCAGTGACGAGAATGTACACCAATAACTTCTTCCAAGAACAACACCAGATGCTCTCAGAACCACTCCCACACATTCTCTTGGGAGAGTTCAATTACGTAACAGACTCCCACAGAGATGTGAGGGGCCCCGCCGCGCCCCGTCGCAGTGGTCTAGTGGCTAAGGTACTCGGCTGCTGACCCGCAGGGCGCGGGTTCGAATCCCGGCTGCGGCCGCTGCATTTCCGATGGAGGCGGAAATGTTGTAGGTTGTGTGCTCAGATTGGGGTGCACGTTAAAGAACCCCAGGTGGTCTAAATTTCCGGAGCCCTCCACTACGGCGTCTCTCATAATCATATAGTGGTTTTGGGACGTTAAACCCCACATCAATCAATCAGGGGGCCCGCCGCGGTGGTCTAGTGGCTAAGGTACTCGGCTGCTGACCCGCAGGTCGCAGGTTCGAATCCCGGCTGCGGCGGCTGCATTTCCGATGGAGGCGGAAATGTTGTAGGCCCGTGTGCTCAGATTTGGGTGCATGTTAAAGAACCCCAGGTGGTCGAAATTTCCGGAGCCCCCCACTACGGCGTCTCTCATAATCATATGGCGGTTTTGGGATGTTAAACCCCACATATCAATCAATCAGAGACGTCAGGGGATCGGGCCGCGGAGCTTCCACATACCATGCGAAGGAGCTCGTGGGGCTCTCAAGGCACCTATCTCTCACGGATATTTGGCTTCACATCCACGGCGATCTTTTGGTACCAACACGCTCCTCACAGTTCACCGCCACTCGTATCGATTGGACCTACCTGCCCGACTTCCTCCTTTCTTCAGTGGAGGCGTGCGAGGTCCTGTCCCCCCTGCTATCCTCGCAAATCGATCTGACCACCTCCCACTCATCACCACAATAAGGTGTCGCCCCGGAACCCTCAGTGGCAATCACGGCTGGCAGCTCGACGCGGCTTTGCTTCTCGACGAGGTTAGCGTTGAGCGAATCAAAGAGCGCATTCAAGCCTCAGTGGACAACGTCTTAGAAGTAACACCAGAATGATGGGAAGCATTGAAAGCGGAGTGGAAGACTATTCTCCAGGACTAGGGCAAAGCCCGGAAGTGCAGGATCACAGAAAAGGCTGAATGAGACCCTTCGTAGGATCCGTATCATCAGGGGGGCGAACATCCTAACGGAGTGTACGCGGGGCTACCTCGCTGCTTTGGAGGCTGAACATAGCGGGCTACTCCAGCAACGCACACGGAGGCCACCCAAAGACTGCGCTGGAACAGACCCCAATGAGATGACCGGGAACGGCCGGGTCCACATTACGCGAGTACAGCGCCCCGACAGCTCCTTCGCCACTGACCCAGATGACATTGGCAGAACCTTCCGGAACTACTTTGCAGACCTCTTTCGAGACACAGACGGCGCCGGCACCCCAGACGGGGAGCATCTGTATGAAGAGCTCTGTCGTAACCTTGCGCGCCTCGAGCAGGATGAAGATGAAATGTTGGGCAGTGATGCAACAGCGGAAGAAGTAAGGACTACCATCAAGAACATGCCACCGAACTCCGCTCCTGGCACAGACGGACTCACAGCTTCCTTCTATTCCACCTTTTGGAATGAACTGGAGAACGTCCTCGTGCTCATGGTAAACATGGTGGTCACCCTTCACCGGAAACAACCATCCTTCGGCGAGGGGAGGATCGTCCTCCTCCTCAAGGAGGGCGCCCAGCAGGAGGAGCTTTCGGCCTGGCGGCCGGTCACCCTTCTGAATGCTGACTACAAGATGGTGGCTTCCCTGCTAAACAACCGCACGAAGCCACTGCTACAGACCATAGTTTCAGCAGAACAGACCTGCGCAGTGCCGGGCCGCTCAATTTTCGCCAACTTGACGGTCACGCGGGATGCCTTCGAATACTTGACTGCCAAATCTTTGTCGGGCGCCTTCATATCGCTCGATCGAAGCGAAGGCCTTCGATCGAGTTGGGCACGAGTACATGCTCGAAGTCCTGCGCCGTTTCGGTTTCCCCGCACACTTTGTGGAAAGCATCGCCCTACTGTACAGAGATCTTACGTGCCACGTAGTCGTAAATGGCGACCCATCGACTAACTTCGCGTACGAGAGAGGCATCCGCCAGGGATGCCCACTTGGGCCCACCCTCTTCATACTTTCGCTCGAGCCGTTGCTGACAAACATCTTGAATAACGACCCCATCAGGGTCTTCTCACTAACGGGGGATGCCGCAATCAAAGTGCTCGCCTATGCGGACGATGTTTCGTTGTTTGTGCGAGACCCGGCAAGCTTACAGGCCTTCTGGGAGACATTCGCACACTATGCGGACGCCTCAGGAGCGCTACCTAACATGGAGAAAAGCAAGGCCATTGCCTTTGGCGCCTTTCCCCGCGATGCCCTGGGTGAGCTGTGCGCAGTGGACACCGTCAAGGTGCTAGGCATTTACTTCTTTGGCGGTGGTGTAGCGGAGAAAACCTGGCAGCGAGCGTTGGAACGCGCACAAGTGGCAATAGAGCGCCTCAGCCCCAAAGGCTTGTCGTTACGTGAAAAAGCCCTGGCAGTGACGACCACCATTTGCGCCTTTGCGTATTACGCCAGTCGAGTCGCTGTGATGCCCGCCAGGACGGCTACGAGGCTGATGAAAATGATCGGTGCCTTCCTATGGGATGGCAAGCCCGCGCCCATACGCCGCACCCTCCTACACCTTTCGACGGACGAGGGTGGCCTTGGATTATCCGACCCAGCCACTACTGGCAAAATGCTGGCATTAAAAACGGCCAGGGCATTGTTCTAAACAACCGGATACGTAGGGAGGGACATCATGCGCTACTGGTGCAGCACAAACGCGCCTTCCTGAATGCGGAGCGTCCCCTCACTCCGCTTGCGGACGCTCCCTCAAGCTTTTACAAGGGCGCCGCAAACACGATGCGGATGCTCGAGAAAGACGCCTCCGAATGCGACATCGACAAAACCCCACCCGCTCGCATCGCGGAGGACATTGCGCGGCACCAGTTGACGCATGAAGAGTGCAGGCGGTCCCAAAAATGGCAACGGAATGCGCGTAGAGATGGGCGGAGAATGCCCAAGCCGGTAGCAGACTTCACGTGGAGGAAAAATTGGGACATCCTACCAACTCGCCAGCGCCTACACAGGCTAGGCATTACACCTTCCGCCCGCTGTCCCAATTGTCCCTCCATCGAAACCCTTACACACGCCCTGCACAAGTGCCCCGCAGCTAAGCCGGTGTGGCGGATAGTGGCGAGAGAGTTTCGCATTCGCCCCCCTCCAGCCCTCGCCAGGAACAGAGGCGCATTCGCCAAACTGGTAGTAGCGTGCACGCTGTTCGTGCTGTGGAACCGGCGCTGCCTAGCCGAAGCAAGGCATAAACCAGTACGGGCAGCCTTCCCCGCAGTAGCCAAGATACGCTTGATGTTGTGGCATTATCTGTCAGAGGATCTCAAAACCAGCGGCGAGGAAAAATTCCTTCGCCGATGGCACACGAGGTTCTTCGTACTACAAAATGGCAAGCTGCGCCTCCCCATCACCCCCTTCTAACCCTCTTCCACCAAAATGTCACTCGGTATGGTGTCGACCCCATAACCCACGCATCTCCTTTAAACTAGTATCTCCGTTTTTGTTGTCCGTGTGCTCGCTTCATCCCTTGAGGCTGTATAACCTTCTGTGTTTAGCAAGAGTTTTTTTTGTTTAGCCACAATACACACTGTGCTTGTGCAATTTCTCCACACATGTGTAGGCAACTGTGTGCTTGATGACATGTTTCTTTATAATTTTTAAAAAATGAATGCACTTGTAAACTATTTCATTGTACACACTCCTTGAAATGGTAAGGCTGTAACCTGGAAAATCGTATTTTGCTCTTACTGTGTGATTTCAACCCATGTCGCGGTGCCTCACATGTTTTTTGCGACCCTGAGTCTATTGTTCATTTGTGTTGTAGCCCCTCGTTGGAGGGCAACGTGTGACTCGTTAATAAAATTTCCCTTTGTGTAGTATCTGTTCTTATCAGCCTTAATATCTGATACGGATCCTATTTGTATCCAAGATAATAAACTTATTTTTGTAATGCGGCAGAGTGCTTGAAGCTTGCTTCACCTCCGCCACGGGTTGGCCCTGGTATTGCACTACCTCCGGGATCGGCCCACTCACCCCTGCGGGGGTGAGTTC